TGAGACGTTGCAGCTGATAGGAGTCATAAAACAGAACAGGGGGACGTTAGATGACCTGACGCCCCTCTAGATAAATGTGTTTAATGAGTGAAGGAAAATATGAGTGAGCACCAAGCAACAACCCTAGGTTCTCCCCTGAGAACCAGAACAAACATTTTATGTGCAACCCTGGTAATAAACCATCACAAACCAGTGTTTTTGTTCATCTTCATTTCTAAAAAGAGCAACTACCGCATTTTGTAACAGTTGCAACAAAATGTATGTTATTACATGATGTGGCTGAGAGTGTTACAAAATGCGTTGAAGACTTGTTTTTTTTACATTGTGCATCAATTATTACATAATGTGGTTTTAGTGCAGTTTTAATACATTTTGAAGCCCAATTTTCTGATTTTACTTTATTACAAATTTCATGTTGTTACATAATGCAGCTTTACAAGGCTCATCATTTATTTATTGTATTACAGAAAATGCATAAAAAATGTAATATTGAATCTTGTTGTTTGCATGTGTCTGAAGCCCATTCTGGAGTCGGGGGTGATTGACTTACTATGCAGTCTGACTCAGAGGGAAAGTCCTGCTCTCAGGTTAAACGGGATCTGGGCCCTGATGGTAAGAAAACAATTTGAATGTTTATATTAATTTTTATAACAGTCAGTTTTTAAAAAAATGTCAGAAATTCTGACTTTATTTCAAACCCATTGTAGATTTAAATGGCTTTGTTTTCTTTTGATATTTTCTCTTTCTGCTTCTTAAGTTTAAAATGATGTTAATTACCTAGATTTTACATTATTTTGCTAAACAAATGCTTAGATTTGCTGCCAGAAGCAGCCTTAAAAACAGAACCTTTTGTCTGTGTTGAAGAACATGGCGTTCCAGGCGGATCAGAAAGTGAAGGTGGAGATTGTTCGGTGTTTGGGCACAGAGCAGCTGTTTCGTCTGCTTTCTGACCCCGACACCAATGTACTGATGAAAACACTTGGTTTGCTGCGCAATCTGCTGTCAACACGCCCTGTGAGAAAACACACACACACACACACACACACACACACACACACACACACACACACACACACACACACACACACACACACACACACTGTTCAGAGTTAACTATTATGACACATAAGGCCTATTTTTGTTACTTATCCTAATATAAATGGTAAATGGACTGTAGTGGTATAGAGCAGTGTTTCCCAAAGTTGGGGTCGGGACCCAAAGTGGGGTCCCGAAACATTAAGGTGGGGTCCTGAAAAGATTTTCTGAATTAATGACATTTTTGCCTTAGTTGTTACAAAGGAGTGAGGTTAGTGTATTTAAAATGGGTAAATGTAGTATAAAAATATTGTTACTATGTCCATGTTTAGTTGACCTGATTCAAATGTTTATCATCCAAAAACAGTTGGGGGCACAGGTCTCTGCTACTGTTATTTTGTGGGTCAAAAGCTGAAAAGTTTGGGAACCAATGAACTTTGGTTCCCAGAGTTGGGCTTGGGACCCAATTATGGGTCATGAAGCACCTTGGATAATCTCCAGAAATCAATTTAAAGGGTAATAAAATAATTGCTGATGTAATAT